GGGGGGGGGGGTGTCAAACAGGCTTGTTTCGGTGCCAGTCTCAGCATTAACTAGCTTAATACTCTCTAAACTTCAGTTTCCTCATCTGTAAAATAATATAAACACCCCATCAGATATGTTTTACCAGCTGGGCCAATAATGTGTTTTGAAGTACAGAGCATGATAGGGGCTCAGCAAGTGTTGGTCTCCAACCCATTGATCCCAGGCAGAAAAGGGGGTGGGAGCCTACGGGGGTGTTGAACCCCGCTCCCTTCCAGGTTCTACAAGTTGCACGAAAGAAAATGTGAGCCCATCATCATGACTGTGCCCCGCAAGGTGAGGAGGCTGGAAGAGGGGTTGAGCGAAGGCTCCGAGGAGGAAGGGAGCGGAGCAGGCCAGGCACTCTGCTAACACTAGGCCTCCTCTCTCCCCACGCTGCCCGCAGTCAGACTTGTTCCAGGACGATCTATACCCAGATACGCCTGGCCCTGAGCCAGCCCTAGAAGCTGACGAATGGCTATCTGGCCAGGACGCGGAACCCGTGCTCATCTCGTTGAGGGACGGTTACATACCTCCCAAGCACCGTGAGCTTCGGGTCACCAAGCGCAATATTCTGGACGTGCGCCCTCCCTCGGGCCCCCGCCGCAGCCAGTCGGCCAGCGATGCCCCATTGTCGGTAAGATGCGGCCTCGCTCCACTCCGGCCCAGTCTACACATCCCCCACTACCGATCCCTTCCAGACACAGCCTCTTCTCTCCTCTGTGCCCCAGCAGCAGCACACTCTAGAGACGCTGCTGGAGGAGATCAAGGCCCTTCGTGAGCAGGTGCAGGCCCAGGAGCAGCGCATCACGGCTCTGGAGAACATGCTGTGCGAGCTGGTGGACGGCACGGACTAGTGCAGCGCGCGGGGGGGAAGCTCCGAGCCTGGGGGGCCCTGCCGGACCGGGAGCACCCTTGGCCCCGCCCTGGTTCTTGGTCTGGAACTCGGACCCCGCCTCTCTGGGCTGGGGCCGGGGGCGGGACTGGGAAGGGAACTCCGCCCTCGCGGGAGTCCTGGACAAATGGAGCGTCGCAGAGACTCGAGTCTGCCTGGCACCCGCCAGGCTGCGTGCCTCGTCCGAGACTCAGCAGGAGCTGGCCTTGGGAGACCCGGGGTGACAGGGACCTCAGCAATGGTGCTGCACGGCGAAGCGGTGTCCCCTCTGTCCCCCGGTTAGGGCAGGGGAAGTGCTTAGTATTAGTGCTATTCTTGGGGATATCTGGGAGCTTGGGCTTGACCTCAAAGGGGTGGCGGCGATTCGATGGGTCTCCCCAGACTGACTGGGGTTGAGTTACGCTTCTCTTTCTAATCAGTTCACTTGATTTCACTACCCTAAGTGGTAAAACGTATGGGTGTCACCCCAGTTCTACAGACATACACAACCTGTTGGCTGTGGAGCCGAATCCACCGGCTACACCCAGCAGTCTATGGCAGAGGGCTCTCTTCCTTCTTTTCACCCACAGGGGAGAGGGCGGCTTCCTCACTGCACCCCCGCCGGAGAACTAATCAGAAAACTGGCATGGAAGCAGGTTCACACCCTCCTTCACGTCCCCCCCCCCGCCCCC